AGCATCCATTCCTGATAAAAACTCTCGGCAAAATAGGAATAGAAGGGAAATTCCTCAACATAGTAAAAGGCATAGAAACAAAACCAACAGCCAATATTATTCTCAATGGAGAGAGACTCAAAGCATTCCTCATGCAAACAGAACCAGACAAGAATGCCCTCTGTCACCACTTCTATTCAACACTGCATTGGAAGTCCTAGCAAGGGCAATAAGGCAATATAAATAAAGGGTACCCATATTAGCAGGAGCTCTGGTAGCATAGTGCCTAAAACACTTGACTGCTAACCAGAAGGCTGGCGGTTCAAACCCACCAGCCACTCCTCGGAAGGAAGATGGGGCAATCTACTTCTGTAGTGATACTGCCTCGGAAACCCAAGGAGGGGTCGCTATGAGTCGGGTCTGACTCGGTGGCACATAACAACAACAACATATTAGCAAAGAAGTAAAACTATCTCTAGTTGCAGATGATATGATCCTATACACAGAAAAACCAAGAGACTCAGCAAGAAAATTACCAGAACTAATTGAAAGATTCAGCAAAGTGGCAGGATACAAGATCAATACACAAAAATCAGTTGGATTTCTCTATGTCAACAAAGACATCTCTGAAAAAGAATAAAGAAAACAATACCATTTACAATAGCTACCAGAAAGATAAAATACTTGGGAATATATTTCATCAGAGAAACAAAACACCTATACAACAAAACTACAAAACAACTACAACTATAGGAGATCTACATAAATGAAAGAATATGCCATGTTTATGGACAGGAAGACTGAGCACTATGAAAATGTCAGTACTACCAAAAGCAATCTGTACATTCAGTGCAATCCCAATCAAGATTCCAGCAACATTCTTTACGGACATGGAAAAAAAACAATCACTAATTTTATATGGAAAGGAAAGAGACCTCGAATACGTAAAGCACTACCAAAGAAGAACAAAGTAGGAGGTCTCATACTCCCAGATCTTAAAATCTACTATACAGCCACAGTAGTCAAAACAGCCTGGTTTTGGTACAACAAAAGACATAAAGATCAGTGGAACAGAATTGAGAATCCAGAAATAGATCCATCCACCTATGGACAGCTGATCTTTGACAAAGGGCCAAAACCCATTAAGTGGGGATGAGATAGTCTCTTTAACAAATAGTGCTGGCAAAACTGGATATCCATTTGCAGAAAACTGAGGTAAGATTCATACCTCAGACCACATACAAAAACAAACTCAAGATGGATCAAAGACCTAACTATAAAACCCAAAACTATAAAGCTCATCAAAGATAAAATAGGGGCAAACTTACTGTTGTTATGTACCATCGAGTCAGACCCCACTCATAGTGACCTTTCCTTGGGTTTCCAAGGCAGTATCACTATGGAAGAAGATTGCTCACAATTTATGGCATAAATAGACTATCAAGAATAACCCAAAATGCACAAAGAGCAGAAGACAAACTAGATGACTTCTTGTTGTTATGTGCCGTCGAGTCGGACCTGACTCATAGCGACCCCTTCTTGGGTTTCCGAGGCAGTATCACTACGGAAGTAGATTGCCCCATCTTCCTTCCAAGGAGTGGCTGATGGGTTTGAACCTCCAGCCTTCTGGTTAGCAGTCAAGTGCCTTAGGCACTACGCTACCAGAGCTCCCACTAGATGACTGGGACCTTCTAAAAATCAAATTCTTATATGCATCAAAAGACTTCTCCAAAAGAGTAAAAAGAGAACCTCAGATTGGGAAAATATATTTGGCAATGACGTATCCGACAAGGGACTTATCTCTAAAATTTACAGAAAACTTTAACACTTCAACATCAAAAAGACAAATAATCCAATTCAGAAATGGGCACAGGATGTAACAGATATTTTATCAAAGAAGATATCCAGGCAGCCAAAAACCACATGAAGAATGGTTGTGATTATTAGCCACTGGAGAGATGGAAATCAAAAGAACAATGAAATATCATCTCATCCCAGCAATATAGCAAAGTTCAACAAGATAGAAAAGAACAACTACTGTCAAGGGTGTGGAGAGACTGAACTCTGCTGGTGGCACTGTAAAATGGTACAACTACTGCAGAAAGCAGAGGGGGTCTCCTTAAAAAGTTGGAAATAGAAATACATTTGATCCAGCAATTCCACCGCTAGGAATATATCCTAAAGACGTGAGATCCGGGAGACAAACAGATATATGCACATCCATGTTCACTGCAGCACTATTTACAATAGCAAAGAGATAGAAACCACGTAAGTGCCCATCAACAGATGAATGGATAACCAAACTATGGTATATACACACACAATGGAATACACTATGCAACATTAAAGAATAAAAAACAATCAGCAAATCACCTCATAAAATGGATAAACGTGGAGGACAGTTTGCTAAATGAAATAAGCCAATTATGTTGTTGTTGTTATGTGCTGTCGAGTTGTCTGACTCATAGACACCCCTTCCTGGGTTTCTGAGGTGGTATCACTACAGAAGTAGATTGCCCAACCTTCCTTCCAAGGAATGGCTGGTGGGTTGGAACCACCAACCTTCTGGTTAGCAGTCAAGTGCCTTAGGCACTATGCCACCAGAGTTCCCACATCAATTATAGAAGGACAAATATTGTATGAATCCATTAGCAAAAGCCAAGGAAAGGTTTATACAGGCAAGGAAATTTTCATTGTTGGTTACCAGGGATGGAAGGGGAGGGGAAGAGAGGAAAAACAGATGGATAGTTAAGAGACAAGTGTTGATGTGGGTGAAGGGAACAGCAATGTAACAAAAGCAAGTGACTAGCACAATATCACTAAGGAAAAGGAAGACATGGAGAAGTGCACAAGAGGTACAGACAATAAAGGTAAATAGTAATGCATACACAATACTGCATGATCAGTAATAGCAAACACTAATCTCCAGGTGGATAGATAGGTACACAGGCAAGAAGATCAGGCATAGACAAGTGAACAGAATATATCCATGACCATACACAGGTCTGACCAATGATATTCCTACACACACATTTATATGTGCTATACAAATGTCCGTATGCAGTATAAAGCTAAGAGAGGGCAAAGTTAGGATAACTTCTTAAGCACAACTAACCTTGAGGAAGTGAGTCTCTGGGCCTACGGAATGAGACCATGGTCTTGGGGTACATTGAGCTCAAATGGCCCAACACAGTACTCAAAAATATTGTTCTAAATCTTACTTTGGGAGTAGCGACTTAGGTCTTAAAAGCTTGTGAGTAGCCATCTAAGATGCAACTATTGGTCTCTCCTCATCCAGAGCAAAGAGTAAAGAAAATCAAAGACAAATGGAAACAGTCCAAAGGACTAATGGACCATGAGGACCTCAGTCTATATGATCGTGAGACCAGAAGAACTAGCTAGTGCCAGCGTACCAATGCCAACCACTCAGAAAAGGCTCAAAATTGGAAAAGCTGGATAGAGTGGGAGAAAAAATGTGGAATAAAATTGAAAACATAAAAAGCACCAGTTTTACTGGTCAGACAGAGCCTGATAAAACCCCCAAGACTATGGCTCTGAGTCACTCAATTCCTTGGGCCTGGAATTGAGCTCACTCCTGTGGCTTAACTATCAGTAAACAATGGACAGGCCTACCAGCTGAACAACTACACCAGGGAAAAGGCAGCAATTGCATAGGGAGAAAGGTAGGCAGGCAGGAGCGCACAGGCAAGAGGACAGAGGGAAAGGATAACCACAGTGAAGAAGTGGGAGGAGAGCTGTTACACTATGGGGAATGCAATCAGTGTCACAAAACAAAATGTATATCGACTGTTGAATGTAAAAGGAATCTGCTTTGTAAAATTTCACCCAAATCACAATAAAAAGTTAAAAAGGTTGTTGTGCTTGAGAACAAAAACCTATCTGTTTATCTGATTAATATATGTCTTTAGTAAGCTTGATTATTTAGACAAGTCCAACTGGTCCACTCATAGATAGCCACTTCAGAACTTCTCAGAGTACCAAGTATGTTCTTAAAATGTCAGCTTTAAGTCAACATAAGTATTTGAATTACCATTACTACAGATTTTATTTATTGTGAACCCTGAAAATATGTGTTGTAAATCCTAGCCTCTATGCCTGAGGTTATACTCTCATTTGTGAATGGGTTGTCTTTGATATGTTAGTAAGACAGGATTAGTGTAGGGCATATTTTGAGTTAATCTCTTTTGAGATATAAAAGAGATTAAACAAGAGATTAAACAGATGGGGAAAAGAGAAATGTCAAGCCACATCAAAATCGCCTAGAAACAGAAGCTCAGAAGAGACGAAGAACCTTCCCTCCAGAGCTAACAGAAAGAGAAAGCCTTCCCCTAGAACTAGCATCCTGAATTCAGACTTCCAGTCTCCTAAACTGTGAGAAAATAGCCTTCTGTTTGTTAAAGGCACCCATTTGTGGTATTTCTGTTACAGCAGCACTAGAGAACTAAGACAGCCAGTGAGACTGTGGAAAGGCTGGGAATGCATAGCTCCGGATCTCTACTCTTGACTAAGATGCTGGCAATAAAAAGGGTCAGCATCTAGCTCCCTCTCAAACAAAGCTGCTTAGCCTATTTCATCCAAGAAAAAGAAGCTGTCTCAACAGGCCATCAGGACACATGGCTCTTGGATGGTAATTAAGGTGTTTCATTCATTGTTGTACTTTAATGGTATAAAATACTGTCTCTCTCACTGGCAGGCTAATTTTCCATGGACTCCCTTCTTTCTTTTGAAATGGTACATTCTTAGAATCTTAAAATCTGTTCACAAACTTGGCAGAACTAGGTTGCTCAAATCATATAGGGGCCAATCCTGTCTTTGTTTTGTGTGCCTTCTCTGTACCCAATGACAGTTCTGGTGAAGAAATACACTTATCCAGCCAGAATGTCCCCCAGACACTCACTTTTCTCCCTCAATTGTTTCTACCTGACATGATGCTAAAGATCAGTACAGAAAAAACAACTAGAGGGGAAAGTATGAGTATGCACTAGGCAGAGGGCACTAACCTGGTCACGATCTCCTGCAAAACAGCAGCTTTTCATGGTGCAAGAGTTGAAGTAGCCCTGATTGTCAAACTGGAACACAGGTAGGCGGGAGTGGATATCATAGAGCACAGGAGGTAAGCGGCGCCTCAGGGCCAGGAGCTGGGTCCCATTGCTGTTGAATCGTACACTCATGGCACTCTGGAGGGAGAGGTTGCCACCATAGCGCAGGAGAGAACTAGAAGGCAGAAAGCACAGGGGTCAGGTGGATGGGGCAGGCTGCACAGGAGTCTGTAACACACTGTATTCATTTTTATACAGCCTGTGTTTAGGACCTTTTGTTGGGCATGTACATCTGAGTTTCAGCAGAATGGTATTTCTATGCAGTGGGCTAAAAGGTAACAATGGGAATAGGAAGGGCTCCTTAATTATATTAAAGCATGTTACTTAACCTGTCACAGCTTCCCTCTGCAATCTCCAAAAGGAGAATTGCCAGTAAATTTACAGGAAAGGGTAACAAAAACATCTTAAGAGAAAAAAATGTATTCAACTGATTATTTTATTTACCCAAGTTAAATACAACAAAGTGATACTTGTCAAGACCCTGGGAAGTGAGTCGCATTCAATCTAACTGGCTAATCATAACCGTTATTTAAGGGATATATTTATCCTGTGAATCAGAGATTATCCTTTATATTTGAGATACAAGAACTATCGGCAAAATCAATTATTCTGGACTTTTTCCCCCAATAATAAGCACTTCATTACTTAAGCATAACAAGAATTTATTTTTGAATTTTTAATCTATTCAAAGAGAATTTTTATATTCCTTATGGCATGGAGATTAAATGTTAAACAAAAACCCAGGTGCTACTGAGCCCTCAAGATACCTAAATTAGAGCTTAGTAGACTTATCTGAAACCTTTTTAAGAAATTAGTTTTAATAGCATTTTACCAAGTGAAAACTATATGCCACCAGAAGAGATTTAACACTGAAATGAAGATAATACATTTTATTTTTCGGGGGGCAAGAAGGTGATGGAGAAGATTAACAAAACCCCACCAAAACCCACTGCCCTCGAGTCAATTCTGATACATAGCAACCCTGTTAAACAGAATAGAACTGCCCCCAAGGGTTTCTAAGGCTGTAAATCTTTATGGAAGCAGACTGCCCCATTTTCTCTGCAGAGTGGCTGGTGGGTTCCAACCAATGTTTTTGTTAGTAGCCTAATGCTTTAACCACCGTTGCACCATGAGAGCTCCTCACAGAGAAGATTAAAGGAAAAGGAAAAAAGATATCCTATGGGAAGATGAGAGTCTCTGGGTGGCACAAACGGTGGACTATCGCTACCCTTCAAACCTATCCAGAGGAGCCCTGGAAGTAAAACTGGTGATCTGTTCCCGAAGCCTATGCTTTACTCTGCACACGTAGGATCACCAATAGTCAGAATCAACTTGACAGCAACTCACCACAACATGGAAAGAGAAGCTTCTGAATTAACAGTATAGAGACCGCTGCCAACCTGGCCTGGTCCTAAAAACAGCCTCTCTAACATCAACCAATGTCAGCCCTCTGTTTTCCAAAGCAAGCTCACCAGAGGGAAGAATACTCTGGTACTGCAGGTGTGTGCAGAAACAAGGCCTGGGCAAAACAGCTTTTAATCCTCTTCTGATTGAAATGAAAGGAAAAAGAGAAGAGAATAAGAAATACTGTCCTGAGAATGCCAGACACCCAGGAGAAGCTTGTGCCCCTCAAGTAATAATTCCTGCAGTGAAATATTCTCATAATGGTCCTAAACACAGGCCTCACTCACTCACATACAGAGAATGAATGAAAGGCTGTTAGAGCCTGGGCATTTCCTTTACAGGGTGTCCTAGCTGCTACGGGCATGTGGTGTTATCTAAACAGGGAGCTCAAAAACAATGAGAGGCTTTCAGTCTAAGATCAGCATGGAGTGTGCAAATAAACCAGCATCTGTAGGACTGATGAGGACATGGGGGTGGAAACAAGACCCAACAAAAAGAAACTTGGCCAGCTCCACCAGCCATAGTAGCAGGGGTTTGCATCAGCTCAGGCATGCTTACAGGAAAGGAGGCCTCCGGCAAAGGCCCTTTCCAACAGTTAACGGGAACTTCCTCTGTAGACTCTGGTCACGTCTGTAGAGGAGTCTGCACAGGAAAGGCACCAGGGCCCATGCTGTTCCCACTCAAGCTTCTTGATCTACTGTTTACAATCTGGCCACTCTACAGGAGTCTGTGGGCTCCAGCATTGACTTTGTTTCTGGGCAAGAGAACTCCTACCTCTCACACAGACAGGGTGCCTAGGAATCTTGATCCTAAAATGTTTAGAGGTGCTATCTAAAAAGCAGCAGCTATCCAAACTGAATACTGCACACTGGGCTCAAAGTTCAATTCCTTCCAGAGGAAAGGAACGATACCTAAAAATAGAAAGTGAGCCACAGCAACTATAATTTCTCTGCAGGGGTTCTGCAGCTGGCTACTCCTGGCAAGAATGGGAAAGATGATCTAATTTTCAAGGGAAAGAAGGCTTAGAAGCAGTTTGTTTTCACAGTCAAGATATAAAGATAATGTCAAAGATTCTGTAGTTCATGCTTATAACTGCAGTGCACATGAAAAATTATTAGATATTTTATATATATATAAAATAGGAGTTCTGGTAGCATAGTGCCTAAGGCACTTGACTGCTAACCAGAAGGCTGGTGGTTCAAACCCACCAGCCACTCCTCGGAAGGAAGATGGGGCAATCTAATTCCGTAGTGATACTGCCTCGGAAACCCAAGGAGGGGTCACTACGAGTTGGGGCCGACTCGACGGCACATAAAACAACAACATATATACATTATAGAAATACTGTCTGTAGAATGCCAGCTCTGGTAGCGTAGTGCCTAAGGCACTTGACTGCTAACCAGAAGGCTGGCAGTTCAAACCCACCAACCACTCCTCGGAAGGAAGATGAGGCAATCTACTTCCATAGTGATACTGCCTCGGAAACCCAAGGAGGGGTCGCTATGAGTCGGGCCCAACTCGATGCCATATAACAACAACAACAGAATGCCAGGCATCAAGCATAAGCCTAGTTCTCTGCAGGCCTCAAGTTATAATCCCTGCAGTGAAATGTTCTCATAATGGTCCTAAACACAAGCCTCATTCACTCACATACATGACTGGAAGAGATCCGTATTTGTACCATTCCAAAGAAAGGTGATCCCACAGAATAAGTAAATTATCCAACAGTATCATTAATATTACATGCAAGTAAAATCCTGTTGAAGATAATTCAAAAATGGTTACAGCAGTATACTGACAGAGAACTTCCAGAAATGCAAGCTGGCTTCAGAAGAGGACATGGAAAGAGGGATATCTTTGCTGATGTCAGATAGAGCTTGGCTCAAAGCAAAGAATACCAGAAAGATGTTTACTTGTGTTTTACTGGCTATGCAAAAGCATTTGATTATGTGGATCATAATAAATTATGGATAACATGGACAAGTATGGGAATCCCAGAACACTTAATTATGCTCATGAGGAAACTGTACATAGGCCAGGAGGCTGTCATTCAAACAGAACAAGGGGATACTGCATGGTTTAAAATCAGGAAAGAAGTGTGTCAGGGTTGTATCCTTTCACCATACTTATCCAATCTGTATGCTGAACAAATAATCAGAGAAGCTGGACTATATGAAGAGGATGGCATGAAGACTGGAGGAAGACTCATTAATAAACTGCAATATGCAGACAACACAACTTTGCTTGCTGAAAGTGAAGATGACTTGAAGCACTTACTGTGAAGATTAAAGACTACAATCTGCAGTATGGATTGCACTTCAACATAAAGAAAACAAAAATCCTCACAACTTGACTAATAGGCAGCTTCACGATAAATGGAACAAACATTTAAGTAGTTAAAGATTTCATATGACTTGGTTCCACAATTAACACCCACAGAAGCAACAGTCAAGAAATCAGATGATGTACTACACTGGGCAAAAGACCTCTTTCAAGTGCTGAAGAGCAAAGATACCTCTTTGAAGATAGGTGTGCCTATCCCAAGACATGGTATTTTCAATCACCTCATATGCATGTAAGAGCTGGACAATGAACAAGGCTGAAGAAGAATTGATGCTTTTGAGATGTAGTGTTGGCGAAGAATACTTTAAGTACCATGGACTGCCAAAAGAACTAACAAATCTGTCCTGGAAGAAGTGCAGCCAGAATGCTTGGAAGTGAGAATGGCCAGAAGGGACCATTATTCCCTGGAGAAGGATATCATGCTTGGTAAAGTGGAGAGTGAGCGAAAAAGGGGAAGTCCCTCAATGAGATGGATTGATGCAGTGGCTACAATGATGGGCTCAAGCATAGCAAGGACTGTGAGGCTGGCACAGAACAGGGCAGTGTTTTGTTCTGTTGTACACAGGGTCGCTATAAGTTGAAGCCAACTCGATGGCACCTGACAACTACATATATTCATTCATTCATTCTCAGGAGATAACACCAGATAGTCTAATTAAATCATAGAAAAGGGCCCAGAAATATGAATTTAACAAGCAATCCCAGTTAATTCTGATGCAGGTGATTTTAAACCACACTTTGAAAAACATGGTTTCATTCTGGAATTGAAGGGCAGGGGGCAAGAAGGGGAAGCAAATGGCTTGCTTCCCCCTCAATGAAAAACCAAACACATGATATGACACTTTTTATAGCGCCAAGTCTGTTAGTAGATAGGACTCCAATTTCTTTTAATACCAGAATTCTACTCTACTAATAAGGCTGAAAATGTTTTTTCTTGCCCTCAATATATCCCTTGAAGGAAAAGCTCCTCATTCTTCTTGAAGAACTGAGGATGCCTGTAAATAACAATTTCTCAATTTTAACTTAGTTTCTAGACTCTGATCTTAATAATACAGATGCCATCATCTTGGCTCCCCCAGGGAAATGGCCACCATTACACACTTAAATGAGATAATCAGTATCTAAAAAGGACTAGCCACGAATTAGAATGAGTTCAAATCAGAAAGACTATTAAGAAAAATAAAAGTAATATCCCAACCCATCTTCAACCCAAGATTTGCTACAAAATGTGTTAAGAATGGGGCAGAAGATGATGCAATGCTCAGCATGCAAAAGACCTAGGACAAAAAGTAAAAGAGCTTCAGAACATCAAGAAAACATTCCTCACTGGAGTTGTGGGTTTTTCTTTTGGTTTGGCTTTTTAGTTAA